GGTTATTGGAAAGACCAAGGCAGAAAATAGTAGTATTTTTAGTAAGAATAGATTGTAGTTGGTCTGTAATACAAAGAAGAATTGTTTCTTGTATAAGAAAAAGAAAGTTTTGAGAAGATGTATTATAAGCTTGTTTGCAAAGTCCAACCTACACTACTTCAATAGATGGCGAGCACAGGTTTTTGGGCATGGTCCTCTTCTGTATGGCCCAGGCACTCTCAAAAAATTCTTGTGCCCCTTACTTTATTCCTTACTTTATCCCTTACTTTATCCCTTAAGGATATTTGACACAAAATGATGACGTTAAATTAATAAAATCACCAAATAGTATAGATAACAAATGGCTTAGCCTAAAATGGCATGATAAATCGTAAGTATATTTTTGCAGTAATGAGTAATTTTACACAAATGGCTTAGCCAAAATGGCATGATAAATCTTCAAAGATCGTAAGTATATTTTACAGTAATGAGTAATTTTACAATTTTTTTATATCATAAAATTTTTTCTGAATTATTATTCTTAATATAATCAATAAACGCAGTACATTGACAAAACTGTTAAGCCAAAATAACCATTCCAAATTTGATGATTTTGATACCATTCGGTTCGTCACATTGAGACGAATCGAATGGTACTAAAATCACCCGATTTGAATCACCAGATCACAAGACACAGCCAACGGTCATAAAACGGTTGACCGAAAATGACCGACCGTACCCATCCCTAGTACAAATTACTATTTATATACGCCCAGCTTTCTGTATATAATCCGTGTAAACTTACCTTCATTTTTTACTCTTAATCATATCAATATTTTTCAAAAAAAAATTTCAATGGCGGCAAAAACTCACTTCATTTTTATTATTACCTTGGTCCTCATTTTCACCATTGCTTCACTCGATGCGCAAAAAGGTAATTTTTAATAAGATATATGAATATTAATGATTCCATCTTTAATATTTTCTGCTCACTAATTTATGACTTCATTGCGAATTCTTCGGCTACAATCAGAATGTACTCTCGGTAATATTATACACTTTAAGAATTTTAAAATAAAATTTTAATAATATCTATCTTATTTGACTAATTTGTTTTTAAATTCAAATTTTCTTAGTCTTAAAAGGCAAAGAAACCCACGAAACTGGTGGTAGAACTGGCTGCTTTGGGCTTAGTAAATCCGATCAAATCCATGAAGCTTATTGTAAATTCAATGCTCCTTGTAGTTACACTTTTTATTCTGATTTTGGCTGTAAAGGAAGTGTTGTTGCTAAAGGATCAGATAAAACTAATTATGATCCCCCTATCACTGTCGCATCCGTCTATTTAATATGCCATTGAATGTTAATTATCTTTATTTTAAGTGTTTTTAGTTTCTGTTCTAAATTATATAAATTTTAAATAGCTAAGATTATAAGATTTTAAATTTATTACTGTTTGCGCATGAAATGTATATAATCTACAGTATAAAATAGATCAAGTAAAATTTTCTAAGAAAACAATTAGGAAAGAAAAGAATAAGAATTATTATTGTAAAAGAGTAATTCTGTTTCCTCAAAATTATAAATATTTTGACAGAAGTTTCCCAGAAAAATGTTTATGTTTAGTGTTTAACAACAAATACAATACAAAAAAATTGACACAAATATATTATTAGTACAATTAAACTACGCTACTCTAATTACCAATGTAATTAAAAAAAATCTTTAAAAGTTGATAAAGTGTATATTAGGAATAAAATTATAACGTTTTGTAGGGCTGGGTTGGGTTTATGTATCAGCTTAGATGGTCAACTGTAATGGTGCCTGATGAAACTATTTTTGCGATGAAGTAAATCGCTGGTTTATCAAAACCTTGACGACAATTGATGAAACTATTAATGATTGATGAAATTATTGATGAAATAATTGAAGAGACAAGAAAAATAATTTTATGAAAATTAGCTAACGGTTTTATTTTTATCTTTTTTTTTAAATTTTGACATAGTAATTTATGCATAAAATAAAAAAGCAATTTTTTAAAATATAAAATCGAGATTTCTAAGATTACTAAGTAAACATTTCTTGAGGAATTAGTAAAAGCTCTAACAACCGTTAATGCAGTCTTAATGATAGTAAAAATGTTAAATTTGGTCCAACATATCAAATTATAAACAATTTCTATTTGCAATTATATAAATTTCTTTTATAGATTTATAAAGAAATTTATATGATTATAAAATGTAAATTACTTATGACTTGTGATATACTAAACTTAATTTAACATTTTTACTATTATTAGAATTACATTAATAATTGTTAAAGTTTTAATTAATTTTACAAAACAATTACTTTGTAAATAATTTTTTAAATTTTTTTATAATTTTTTAGATAAATAATAAATAAAAAATAATAATAAAAGAAAAAAAAGTATAAAAATAAAATTTTGTAATTTTTTTAGATTATATTGTACTCACAAAATAAAAAAGTAGTTATTAAATTTTATAAATTTTATAAATTTTTTATTACTAATACAAAAAAATTTTTTATATATTAGTATAATTTAATTTGTATATTCTTTTTTTTGATGTTAAGATGAGATCTTGTTCTATATCTTTATTAGATATTTTCAAGTAATTGCCTTATATAGTTACATATCTATCTTAAAAATACAAGCTTAAACAATTTTATCTATGATCTAAATCTACCAAATTATGCTATATTCCTACTACATATTAAGTATATCTGGATTTGGTATTTAAATTATTTCTAGTTACTCACCATATTCATTTTATATCTTACCATCAAATTTTAGTTACTCTCAAATTGGTTCATTTAGGAAATTGGTCCTTAATACCTCCCAATTTTGTATACTTATTATTAAATACTTTTAACTAGTATAATAGATATAGGGATATTATGGTCCAGTCTAGTTTATCTGGTTAATTAAAAACTGTTTATATATTTTAACTATTAATTTATGAAACAGACTGGACTAGGATCATGTAATTGGGATCTGTTATTAGACCAATAGGATTGTTATAATTTATGAACAATATTTTTAAATAATATAATCAATTTCATATATATTTAAAATAGAGCATTTATTTTAATATTATCACCACTATTATTATTCATATTTATTATAGTTTTATAACAATGAATTGTTTTTTTTACTATTTATTAATTTACAATCTAATCTTTCTACAATACACTATCAGAATCATATTAACTTTTTTTAAAAAGTACTTAAAAGTGTGCTTAAAATATGCTTATAAAAGTTGTAATCATATAAAAGTTTTCTTTCTATATTTATCATAATTTGCTTATAAAAAAATTTTTTTAGGATGTCCTTATATGTGAGGTAACTATAGAGAGATTATACTGTAATTATATTTTATCATTATGTCAAACTCAATTTGTTTAGTATATCTATTATTATTAATTACCAATTCTATTTAGACTTCAACTTTTGATACACAAAGATGCTCTGGTAGTTTTTGAGTGTATTCTATTTCTTGTTTTTGATATAGTATAGCTAGCTATTGAAAACATTTGCTTACTTGCAACACTTGTTGCTTGTATAGACAGGAAATCATGTGTGATTCTTGATAAAATTGAAATTTTATAGCAACTAGTTTTCTAGTATAAAACTGGATCATTATTCTCTTCATCAACCGGTTCTGCAAGGTATATTTTCAACTCTATGATTTTGTTGAGTTGAAGACTTGTTTTGTAAAAATTTAGCTGTGTATATACTTAATTTCTAAGTCTACAAAAATATTCTCGTATTTTTTTGGAATTATTAGTAGAAGGTTTTGCTAGTGTTGCAGTAAATAATTCAAATAATTCATTTTAATAGTGATCTATCAACCTAAGTAATTGTTGTTTTGCATCTTGAATTTTATTATTATGAAATATATTTAACTTTGTACAAGGATCAAGAATAGTTGATATTACTGATGTCACATCCATTAATGATAAATATTCTTCAATTTTCTGAAGAATGGAAGCGGCAATTTCAGATTGTATAAAATTATTTTGCCCAATATAAAAATCAAGATTCATTTGAATTTTATTAAAGTAAAATCAGATATTAGCAAAAGTAGTATATGAAGCTGATGAAAGATACTTAGTTGCAACTTTTAATAGTTCTAATAATAAAAGAGTATCTTTTAAATTTATAAATTAAAGTTAATATTTTCTAATAATGATAATAAATAATTCTTATTTTAAATATATACCTGGATTTGCTTTTTATCATTATCATTTGGAAGTAATTCTTTAATTGCTAGACACGTTGTTAATAATAATAGTAACACAACTTCTATTTTTTCATATTTTGTTAGCATGTCATGTGTTGAATTCCACCTGATATCAATATCAATTTCAGGCTTTAAATATTTAATTTTTTTGATTTCATATAAACCTTCCAATTTAGTATATAATAATGCTGAATGTTTAATTTTAAGCATCTACACTATCCAGTTACCTTAGAAAACACATACATTCAAATACAAAACCTAATTATCAAACTTATAAATAACTCTATTATTACTCCAGCATACCAAACAGAACTTATTAGTATCTACAAACAAATACAACTAAAC